TGGGTTATGTATAAATTAAGTGAACCAGATGGGCTCTCCTGAAATCCCAGGGAAATACATTTGCTAAGCTTCTCTAAGAAAATCAGGAAAAGCATATACATTATTCAAAGAAAATAAATAACCCTAATTGAGCTGACTACTTACACTGCTTAGAATGCTCTGACTTTCTCGTATACATTCAACATATTAGGAAATGTACATGACACTGTAGTGTCTGCCCCTTACACCTACCAAGACTATAACATCATCAAGACATTTCCAGATTTGATGATGGGTTTTCAGTGTCTGTCTATACTCTCTCACATATGACCAAGGACAGGAATTTAGGAGTTGAGGGTCTGGCATAAGAGGCAAGACAAATTAACATAGACTTAACATCCGTGCTCTGCAGTGTGATATAGTTTGGTGACCTTTGATTTGGCACCCTCTATCTTTGCAAATGACTGCTGGAATCCAAGGGATCACTAAAATATGTACTCTAGGTAATAACTACTTTTCCCACTAATGGAGGCGACATGGCCACAAGTCTTGCCGAATGTACTGGGGAATCACTAGACAAAAAGCACTTTGTAAGTGTTGTAAAAACAAGTGTTTACATCTGGTTTTCCTTCCCTCTTCTCTTCTTAAATATCAAAGCCCTTGAATAAGCATACATTTCTTGCATTTGCCCTAACTATGGAGGCTTAGTTATTTTTAAATTCTGTTTTAGCATTTAGTTTGGGCTCTGTTTCTTCTTTTCAAATGTGCCTTCTCTCCAACCAAGGCAGTCAACTTTATACTTTTTCCTGGGGGAAATTTAAGAATCCTACAGTTTGAAAAGACCAAAGTTAAGTAAAGAAACAGTAAATTTCTCTTTCAAAGGTAATAAAAAAATAATTTTATTCCTTGTATTTTGAGTTTTCTACCTTTAATTTGCCTAATCTAATATCAAAGACGTGTAACCAAAAACTCAAAGTCTTTAGTAAAGGATAAAAATTAGAAGTCTAATGGCCCTGACCGGTTTGGCTCAGTGGATAGAGCATCAGCCTGCAGACTGAAAGGTCCCAGGTTCGATTCCGGCCAAGGGCATGTACCTTGGTTGCGGGCACATCCCCAGTAGGAGGTGTGCAAGAGGCAGCTGATCGATGTTTCTCTCTCATCGATGTTTCTAACTCTCTATCCCTCTCTCTTCCTCTCTGTGAAAAATCAATAAAATATATTTTAAAAAAAATTAGAAGTCTAATGAATTTTTATAAATGCCTACCAAGAGAGGACATCAAGTAAAGAGGGAAATTAAATATCTTGGACAAAACATAGAAATGACTTTTTACCTGAAGGCCTCAGTTTTAAAAATGACATTCTCATTTAGATTTGTGCCAAAAAAAAAAAAAACACCCACAAAAAAAGAAAATTAAAAAAGTCCCTGTTACTGTATATATTTGTTCACATTCCCAAAACTGGCTCGGGAAATCCTGGATTCTAGTCTTGCTCATGAAGACACTGGTTTGGAATCCAGGGTCCAGGGAAACCCCTCTAAGGAGAAGACAGATTCCACCATCACTATGGTATCACTTAGGTATCACTATGCCACCAGAAAAACATTTTCAACGGGAAAAATAACTAATGGGCCTGGGAGGAGATGTTTTCCCAAGCAACTGTGTACTCCTCACAAAAGGAAAATGTGCTTTTTAAGAAAAAATAACAAAATACACATAATTGTTCAAAGAGGAATGAGAAACTTGGTGCTCTGTTCCAGCATGCATTCATAATGTAAATCTAAATGCATTTATTGTGCAGGTTTGTTTTCCTGGAGTTTAGAGGACTAGCTCCCAAACATTAAGCGTAATTTAAAGATGGATGAAACATTAATTTTTCTGTCACTGAGAAAATGAATATTAGGCTCATTCCGTGCACTTGTGTGTGTGTGCGCGTGCGCATGCTCGTGCACATGACAGTACACTTAATGAATGTGGGAAGATGAACCCATTCATGCTGCTCAGCTAAAGCAACACTAATTGAGTAGGCTTCTTCTTTTTCTTTAGTGTCTGGTTAGTATCATAACTAATAAAATGCCATTCACTAAGTAAACAGCCACTATGAGTCTACAGTGAGTCACCAATTACATCTGGCTCACGGAAATGGCAAGCAAGGAGTCAGGTATGTTGCCTTGGGGACAACTCAGAAGCATTCCGGCATGAGAGGGGGAAAAAGGATCTCATTTTCTCCTTTTGAAGACTCCGGATCGGATCTATAACTATGGAGACAGCACAGCTTGCATTCCAGTGTTTTCCATGATGCTGAAATTCTAAGCTAAGGGAAAATAGCACACAGATGTGCTGCTGGGGATTTGAGGAGGCTCTTTCATGCCAAAGTCCATGGTCGGTATAATGATCAAATTTTAAAAGTATTAGCATTATATTTTTTCATAAGCAATCACTTATACATAACATAAGCAACTAAAAATTAAGGCCAATAAATATAAGCACCTCCAAAGTATCCGCTCTACAATTAAAAATCAAACCAGTAAGCACTCCTGTCTTTGACAATCCAATCAACACCCTCGTCAGCCCCTGAAATCACTCCCCCCTGCCTCCCCACGACAGCACTGTACCAAGTGTTTGCGATGCAGAGGGCAGCTCAAGGGGGACATAAGCAACTAAAAATTAAGGCCAATAAATATAAGCACCTCCAAAGTATCCGCTCTACAATTAAAAATCAAACCAGTAAGCACTCCTGTCTTTGACAATCCAATCAACACCCTCGTCAGCCCCTGAAATCACTCCCCCCTGCCTCCCCACGACAGCACTGTACCAAGTGTTTGCGATGCAGAGGGCAGCTCCAGGGGAACAGGAGGCCCAGGAGAGCCTTATGCTTCATCCTAGATGTGCCCACAATGAGCAGCAGTTTAGAAATGTTGGGTTTTATTGCTCATCGTATTATAATTAATTGAAAATCAGTCAACTCTATTAAACTGAACATTTTATCACCCAGAAGAACTTGACCAAGCAAGACACAACAAATGGATGACTCCTGCTATGGAGGAGTGTTTTCTCCTGGGAATATTACAAATGCCTTCAAGTGGTCAGTGAAATCACTAGTGAACGAGGCAAATCATAAATGCTCCTCGAGTGGCCTGTGGGTTAGCACCTCCTCAAAATGTCAGCAGCTGGTCCCCTGGCCTGCGGCAGACACGCACAGTCTTGCTATGAGTACACTCAAATTAGCTCAGGTACTTAACGAACAAACAAGGGATGTAGCACATGGCAGTGTAGACCCAGCACATGGTAGTGTGGATGCAGACTCAGTGCAGTGTGGACACAGACTCAGCACAGTATAGACACAGTATGTGGCAGTGTAGACACAGCACATGGCAGTGTAGTTACACTACATAGCAATGTAGATGCAGACTCAGTGCAGTGCGGACACAGACTCAGCACAGTATAGACACAGCACATGGCAGTGTAGATACAACACATAGCGGTATAGAGGCAGACTCAGTGCAGTGTGGACACAGACTCAGCACAGTATAGACACAGCACATGGCAGTGTAGTTACAATACATAGCAATGTAGATGCAGACTCCGTGCAGTGTGGACACAGACTCAGCACAGTGTAGACCCAGCACATGGCAATGTAGTGCAGTGTAAGTGACCAGGATCAGACATCCTTACTATTCAAACACTGAAATACGTTATCTGGTATAAGAACTGAAATATTGGCTTTTACATTTTATCCAACTTTTTTTTCCCCTAATAGTCATAATATGAGAAATAGTATCCTTTACTTAGTGTAATAAATCTTTCATCAATTTCATAACTTACCTGTTTTAAAAAAGTGAACTCTCAGTGGGTTGAGTTTACCCCTTTGCTCCTTCACAAATGCCTGTCTTGTACGTTGCTTGTATTATTTTTAACTTCATTAAATATTATTACTTGGTATAAATTTATAAAGTGACACATTTTTCAATACCATCTACGTCAACTTATTCCATAATAGCACATTCCATCCAATTAAACTGCAAGGTTTCCCACATTTGTTTTACATTCTATATGTATGGCTTATGAATAGCAATTTTGATGAATTCCAGCTGGTTTAAATATGCGGGCAGACCCTTCTAGAGCAGATTCTTTTCAATTCTTATTGTATTCAATGAGGCCCTTTTTAAGTGGGCCACCTGGTGGGAGAAAGCACTAAGAAGTCTCATTAGAACAAAATAAAAAACAATCACCCCGCTCAAGTTAAGACCATCTTCCCAACTACATGACTATTATGTAATTAATATTTGTGTGAAGTAGTTCTTACCTTTTGGAAAACCTGAATTAAAGTTTAAACAAGCTAGCAACCCTATGAACGACTAAATGGCTCCTTTATCTATTATAACAACAACATTATGAGAATGTCCACCATTTGTGCATGTTGCCGGTTTCACAAATCTATCATGCACATTTCAGCCCCTCTCCATTCCCCACACCCTCCCACCTTCCTCCAGCTGGAACACATCAAGGGCGCAGAAGCCAAGTCAAATGTTGACCCCACCCTCCTCCATCCATTTTAAGGCACCTTCAAAGGTAGAGTGCTGATCTAACTCAGTTGCATCAGCTAAGCCAGCATCCTGCTATTGACGATTTCAGTTTGGGGTTTTTATAACTGCACAGGAACAGCAGTGCTTTGATTTGGGGTCCAAAACTTCAGCTGCACTGAGTTGCAGCAGATTGTTGTATCCTTCCTGCCAAAGGGTCCTCATTATTAAATCATAACCTTTCCTCTCAGTGTCCATCTCTTTCCTTATGATATCAATGCCCAATAATCAACTCTGAAGGACCAATTTCCCTTCCAAAAGGTCAAAACAGCACAGCCACTGTGGGAACCCAAATGCATGCTGCCCCTGGCTTTTGCACACCCTATATCATTTGTGTACGGTTACAAACGACAGTCATTTTAACGTGCATAGAAATGCACTTGCCAAGATGCATGCAGAGGGGAGTAGAGAAAGAGGAGCTGCCGCAGGACAAAGAACTTACTTTGTTGTTCCCCTGTACGTGCAGCAGCAAGGGAAAGAAGAAAAAGAAATAGGTTAAACATGAATTTATGTTAAAACCATGAGGTAATTTCTGAGCTAGAGCAAAATCAAAATATGTAATTTAACTGGTCACTCACATCCCATACGTATGCACACAGCACCCAGAGCTCAAGGACAAGTCAAAGGACCTACTTAGATGAAATGAAATCACACATTTATAACGGCAGAAAGTTAAGACAGAGATTTCTCCCTTTCTTCCTACTCGAGATACTTGGAGTGTGGGAACCTGGCCAAAAAGCATGGGTTTCAATTGGTAAGGAGTGAACTGTTAGCATGAAAGGCAAAGTATTTAGTATGTCGAATTGCCCTTTCCTGACAGCCCCTCCTCCAACATGCCAAGCCAACGGAAATTTTCAGCAGTCAATGCGTTTTTAAACAAACACCGCATCCTTGGTTTCAGAGAAGGTGGAAAAAAAAAAAGGCGAAGAGAGCAGAAGGAATGAGTGGGTGGTTCTGGGGAAACAGGGTAAGCAGGCCATGTCTGACCTCCTTCTGTACCGTTCTTTTATTTTGTAAATTATGAGCTTTGTCTTGGATTGGCCCAGGAAGCGCTCACTGTAGAGTGGGGATGTGGCCAAGATAAACACTGTCCCAAAAATGCAGTTATTTCTATAGGGGACACTGGATAGAGACACAGAGCAGCAGCCAGGGACGGGCAGTAGGAAAATGGGTCTCCTGTTTCAACTAGAGCTGCAAGAGAATGATTTATACCAAACAATTTAACTCACATATGGCTTAAAAAAATAGAGCGGTGATTCATTAGTCCCAGGGCGGCTTGAGTCCTCACAGGGTCAGATCCCGCGAGAGAGACATGATGGGAAGGGCAGGGAACAGATCTGAGCTCTTCTCACAAAGGGCCAGGGAGGAATTTTGAGCTGAGAGGCTGAGTTGAAGACAGCGGTTGGGAAAAGTCATGCATCTGTGCAGGGGACAGAGCATGGGGTGGAGTGACAGGTTGGGCTGGAGATCTGGCTTTTGGTTCTCAGAGAGGATGTGGAGGGGAAATCACACCTTCAGCAGTTTTCTGGAGGGCGGGTTAGGCAAGGATTTCAGGGGAGTGTTGTTTTCTGGAAAACAATGCCAATTGGTGACCTGGAGGAAATGTCTAATTCAAGGACTTTCACAGCCATCATCTTTAATAAAAACAGAAATGTAAAGACACTGATAAAACTGAAAAGGAGTTTCTTGGCCTTGTGCATTGCTGTGATAGAACCGTTCACAGCACTGGCTTACATGAGACATATGTAAGGATAGAAGAATGAATGGAGGGGGGAAAGGAGTCTTTGGTAAAAAATATGCCAACTGCTCAAGAAGGCAGTAAAGCTCCCCACAGGGCATTTTAACAGCAGAAAAAGTCTATTTTGGAGAATAATGGGACTCCGGTTCTCCGAAGCAGTGCAATATTGCTGCAAATTCCTCAAGCAGATGGAATTTATTGCATTCCACAGCCGTGCAGCTTTGATCTAGCAAATCAGTTTCAGGAGTCCCACCAACTATTTCTGCACGTTAGGGAATGACTGGCTTCCTCGCTCCATACAGATGGTTCTGTTTGTAGTGGCAACAGTGATGTCACAGAGTAGGGGCCTTCATCCCTAAAGGGGAGAAACGTACAAGTGGAGGACGAGGAGGGGCTCTGTCCTTTCTTGTTTCCTCAATCATTTCCCAACTATCTATGCTGGGAGAGGTGGGACAGGACTGGAGTGGGAAACTGTAAATGCTCTGTGTTTGGATCCCTGAAGGTGCCTCTATTAAGGAATAACTAAGACTCTTCGGAACTGGTCAGGTAGCTGCTCCAAGCACTGAGCCAGCTAAGGATAAAGGGAGGTGTGGCGGCGCTATGGTGGGCATTGTTAGTCTCGTATCATTAGTCAGCTGAATAAACCCATGTGAGTGGTCCTCGCCACATTAATAAATATTGACGGAGGTCTGTGGCCATTCTTCTTTCCCTAGAAAGATACAGAGACCACTCCCCTAATGGTCATTTGTCACAAAGGATGGTTAAGTTTTGGAGGTTACCCAAAAGGAATTTCTGAAGTCCCAAGAAGGCTTCATTATAGTATGATTTCAACCTCCAAAGCAGTCCCCAAAAGCATTATGACTTGGAGAGTTTTGAATACAGAGGTATAATGAAATTCCAGGGCATTCCATTTTCTACTGCCAATTTTCATCTCTTAAGAAATCATACACTATATGAGAGAACCACCTATCCATATAGCTAATAGAAACCTCATAAAAAGTCCTGGGGTATATGACCTAACATGCGGAACTGAATTTGCACCAAATTTCTTTTCAAGGCCTGCATGGATATGGGGTCTGCTTCCTCCAGAGAACCAGCAGGTCAGCCTCTGAGGGCAGGCTTGTGAATCCTCGCTTCCCAACAGCCTCTCCAGCTCAATCCTGACTGATGGAGCTTCGAGCTGGGCTGTCCACAGGGCAGCGAAACCCCAAGACCCACCTAAGCAAGTCGGCTTCCTCAGCCAACAGTTGGGGAAATTCTCCCTCCAATGCCCATTCCCAATGATAGTTTCCAAATAAAAGGGAACTACTAAATGGGAAGATACAGCTTCATGAGCACATTAATGATTTTCAACAATAATGTACATGGCATTGAGCACATCCACCCAGTTCTGGGCACTGAGCTCAATGTGATACGTAACTGCCTTCACTTAATCTGATCAAATCACTTGAGGAAGGCATTATTACTCTTAGTTTCAAAAAGAATAAACAACTGCAAAGTTAAGTTGCCTGAGCCACACAGCTAATAATTGGAAGGGTCGGGATTCAAATGTGAGTGGATTTGACTTAACGTCTACCTCCCTTCACTCACACAAAATGCTCCAAAGAATTTGGAATTCCTACTGTTCATGTATAATTTAAGTCATGCTCTGGGCCGACAAAACTGTGCCAGAAACATCAGGCATTTGTTATATCATGTTCTTTAGATATTTAATCAAATTCACATTTGTTTGTATTCAAACTTATAGGAAAAGTTTATGTACATGGGTCTGTAAATAGTCTTGTAAAAGTGCTTTAATTGTAGCCTGTAACTACTGATACATGCACATACATTTTATCTAATTATTTAAAAAAATTTTAATTTGAAAATGTATAAAATCCTACACATTTCTTTGATATAAAATTTTATAGTTGTCTTTATTTCAGTGTAATGGCCAAAGGAAATAGAAATAAAATTCTGCTAAATCCAAATTCAGCTTTAAATATATATATATACTAGAGGCCCAGTGCAAGAATTTGTGCATGGGTGGGGTCTGGCCGGCCCAACCCCAATTGGGGCGGATTGGGGCCGGGCCTGTTGGGAGGAGGAGATGGCGGGAGGTTGGCCGGAGGGCCCCACTCCAGAAGGGGGTGGGTGGGAGCCTATCCGGGGCCAGTGGCCTGGGGAAGGGGCCATGGGTAGTTGGCTGGCCAGCCCTGCCTCTGATCAGAGTGAGGGGGCTGATTGAGGGCAGAGCTGGCTGGGGGGAGGGGCTGCAGGCTGATCAGGGTGGTGGGGGCCCATCGGGGGTGTGGCCAGCCAGGGGGGAGGGGCTGCAGGAGGTTGGCTCTGGGTGGAGGGAGGGGCTGTAGGAGGTTGGCCAGCTGACCCCACCCCTATTTGGATGTGGGGGGTGATCAGGGAGAGGCCGCAGGGGATTTGGCTGGCTGGCCCCACCCCCCAGATCTGGCCTCCTGCACACCCCCTACTGGGAATCGAGCCCCAAAAGTGGGCATGTGCCCTTGACCAGAATCGAACCAGGGACCCTTCAGTCTGCAGGTTGCTCTGGTTGTTAATGGTGTTCCGGTCGCTGGCTTTTTATATATATACTAGAGCCTCAGTGCATGAAATTCGTGCATGGATTGTGTGTGTGGGGTTCCCTCAGCCTGGCCTGCACCCTCTCCAATCCAGGACCCCTTGGGGGACATCCCTCTCACAATCCGGGACCGGGACCGCTGGCTCCTAACTGCTCACCTGCCTGCCTGCCTGATTGCCCCAACCACTCTGCCTGCCTGCCTGATCGCCCCTAACCACTCTGCCTGCCTGCCTGATTGCCCCTAACTGCTCTCCCCTGCCAGCCTGATTGCCCCTAACTGCTCTCCCCTGCCAGCCTGATTGCCCCTAACTGCTCTCCCCTGCCAGCCTGATTGCCCCTAACTGCTCTCCCCTGCCAGCCTGATTGCCCCTAACTGCTCTCCCCTGCCAGCCTGATTGCCCCTAACTGCTCTCCCCTGCCAGCCTGATTGCCCCTAACTGCTCTCCCCTGCCAGCCTGATTGCCCCTAACTGCTCTCCCCTGCCGGCCTGATCGCCTCTAACCGCCTCTGCCTTGGCCCCCGCCATCATGGCTTTGTCTGGAAGGATGTCTGGAAGACGTCCAGTCTAATTAGTATATTACCCTTTTATTAGTATAGACTAGAGGCCTGGTGCACGAATTCATGCACAGGTAGGGTCCCTCAGTGATCAAGGCCATCGGGGCCGTCTCACTCAGTCCTGATTGGGGCCATCAGGACCAGTTTGCTGGGGCGAGGGACCGTGGGACGTTTGCCAGCCACAGGAGATTGATTGTGGGAGCGCACTGACTACCCAGCCAGGGGGAGGGACTGCAGGAGGTTGGCTGTGGGAGTACATTGACCAGCAAAGGGCAGCTCCTGCATTGAGCATCTGCCCCCTGGTGGTCAGTGCACATTATAGCTACTGGCCAGTTGTCCCATCATCGGTTGTAACGTTCGCTTAGGCTGTTTTTTATACACACACACACACACACACACACACACACACACAGTGGGGCCTTGACTTATGAGTGTCCCGACTAACGAGTTTTTTGAGATACGAGCCGTCTCTCAGCCGATTTTTTGCTTTGAGTTGCGAGCTAAAATTCAGGTTATGAGCCAGCTTCAGCTACCCCACCGCTAGTTGGCGCAGCGAACGTCACAGTGAATGCCACAACATCAGCCCAGCATCACATGTCTCACTCATTCACAATTGATTTGACATACGAGTAATTTGAGTTACGAGCTCCGTCACGGAACGAATTAAACTCGTAAGTCAAGGCCCCACTGTAATATATCTAATATAAATATATTTTTATTGATTTCAGAGAGGAAGGAAGGAGAGAGAGAGATAGAAACATCAGTGATGAGAGAGAATTATTGATTGGCTGTCTCCTGCACACCCTCTACTGGGAATCGTGCCCAAAAAGTGGGCATGTGCTCTTGACCGGAATCAGACCAGGGACCCTGCAGTCTGCAGACTGACACTCTATCCACTGAGCCAGACTAGCTAAGGTCAGGTTTAAATATATTTTTAAAATACTGTGGCTGCTCAGAAAGAATGCTACATTGTGGCTCAGAGAGGTTGTGTGTGGGTTTTGGGGGTAGATCAGTGGCACCGTGGGAAACTGAAGCCAGGACTCCTCATTTCCACCTTATGGTCACAACGACACTGCTCACACAAGAAGCCTACGTTTTGCTTTGGATCCAAAGAGATCAAGGACTGAAGCTAATTAAAAAGTGCACATGGGGGAGATACTGTACAGTTGGGCTATGGCAGTATATACAGATATCCACTGTAGTTCATCAAATTGTAGAGTAATTATTTATTTGCCTCTGTCTCTTCTACTAGACTTGGAACTCCCATAGAGTAAGAATGACAACATTTAAAAAATCTGTTAATCTCTAGAGTCCAACACAACAGTGATGGATGAAGGGGAGGAAGGAAGGGGAGGAAGGAAGTAGGGGAAGAGGGTGGAAGGGCAGGAAACAAAGAAAAATAATTAGTAGAAAACTCCAAGAGAAATGACCTAAGAGACAGAAGAAACAGAGTAGCAGAATATTATGATATTAATGACATGAAAACATTCCATCATGTGAATGTGATAGAAAAATATGATGGGGAAAAGCATGTTGAAAAAAAGTGTGCAAACTTAGTTGAAAATCAAACTGGTCTGAAACATCATTTTATTCCAGGTTAGGTGATAGCTATTTATCTAAATGAAGCCAAACCTTATACAAATAAAAAAATAATAATCAATGTAGAATTTTTCCAGTTAAAATAGAATTGTAGAAAGCAGAGCTTTTTGAGTCTAGACTCATGTCCATGTATGACACATAAAAGTTTAATTATTAGGGTAGAGATTGACTGATTGGCTGTTGACTTGATGGCTTACTGATACAAAAACAAAACAACCCACTTAGACAGAGGCATCTCTTATTAGCTTTATCTGATGTCTTCATCAAATCTTTCTAAATTATAAATAACTGTATCTGAAAGTATCCCTTCCCCCAAGTCTTATCTGTCACAAAACAGGATGTTTAGACAAGGGTTCTACTCAGATTGTTTTCAGTAGTAAGCAGCCATTTAACCATCTGAAAGTCAAGCAATCGTGTAATGTAACCTGGTGCATAAAAAAATGCAAATAGTGTTTATGATGAAAACTGAGAAAAGTAACGTCCATGGCGTGCTGCCAAGTTTAATTTCCTGCCATGTCTTTGGCTTGTAGTAAAACACCCCTTTGTCCCGATCTCCCAAACCACTATGTAGAATGTGTGCTTCTAAATAAATAAAAATCATGTGAAAAGAACCAAAATTGATTGTGTAGGACTGGCTTAATCTCTAGATTTACTTAAAATTGAGCATTCTGCAAAAAAAGAAAGCTAGTATTTCATTGAGCTGCTTCTTTGTGTAGAGCTGTGGACACGTGAAAATTCATATTTATAAAAACAATTCACTGAAGGGAAGGTAACTGTGCTTTTCCAAGAAAGTGTATTCCTCACAAGAGATGCATTACGTGATTTATTTAATGGTAAAAATGCATAGTGCATTTAAATATGCTGAAAAAATAAAATAAGCTGAATTAACAAAATTATTACTTAAGAAAACATTTTCACAAACATTACAGTTACATGTAAGAAAGAAACACACACACACACACACACACACACACACACACACAGATTTTATATAACCAAACATATTTGGGAGATAGAAATAGTATAAAGTCTCACTGGGCTATATTATAACATCCACAGCATTTTAGCTCTTTCTTCTACTTGTTAAAGAGAGTAATATGTGATAAATTGATCATCATCATCATTATAAATAAAAGTAGAATGCTTATTTGTGTCCATTCTATTCAGTGATTTTCTTGCATTATCTCATTCAATCCTGTCAACCAAGCCATGGGGACTTGCGTTATCTCCACTTTAGGAATGGGAGTCTTGAAACATAAAAAGGCCAGGTAACCTGCCCAGCATCTCACAGCTTGTACGAGAGCATCTGGAATGTCAACAGGTAGCCAGACACTAAAGCCTGTGCTCGAACCCACCATGTGCTCTACTGCTTCTCCTCATACCCAGCCATAATGATCTTGAAAAATGAAAATCGTATCACGTCACTAAACTGGCTCGGAACCTTCTACTGATGTCTCACCTCACTTGGAATAAGCCTCAAATGCTCACCACTCCTCCGAGGCCTACACAACCTGCCCCTGACCACTCTCCTCTTGGAAACACAACCATTCCTGGTCTTCCTCTGTGTGTTCCAGACACACCGACATTTTTGTTGCTCTTCTAAGACACTGCACTGGCTTTGCCCATGCCAGTCCTCTGCACAATTACTCTTCTAGACTTTCTCATCGTTTACTCCCTCCCTTCCTCTATGAGCCTACTCAAACGTCTGCTCTTCCAAGGGGCTCCCCTGATCACCTTTCCTAAAATAAAGCTCACCTGCCCTCATAGCACTGGCTATCCCTTTAACCTATTGTATTTTTATAGAGCTTATCACTCTCTTACATTACACTACAGCTATGCGGTTATTCACTGCCTTGATTACTGTCTATACCTTGGGGGCGGGACCTCACTGCTCACCTCTGTGTCCTGGTGCCTAGACTGGATGCCTGGAAAAAAGCACGTGCTCAATAGGCTTTTATGAAATGAATGAATATGAAATCAACCTAGAATGTTCATACATTTTAATACAGAATGCTTGTGAAATTAAACACGCTACCATCAGTAGGTAGGAAAGAGTAATAAATAATGATCAGAATGAATGATAATTTTTTTTCAATGCTTTCTCACGTTGGTCTTTAGAATGGTAGTTATCTAGGCAAGTATGTATGTACACAACTGGTCAAAGCTGGATGAGTATGAAAATCATGTATCTACATCTCTCTGCCTGGCATCATCGGGAAAGGGTCTGGTGTCACCCCATTTGGAGTGCACAGGAGATATTGTGTGGGTACATCATTTTAGGTGCTAACCAGACAAAGGAGGTTTGAACGGGGTTAAGAGGTGTATGTGTGAGCTAAGGTAACAGCAGTGAGAACATTTTGGCACAAATCCTCAACCCTTGATCCCAGAACTTGGTTACATTCCAGTGTAACCTCAGGGACATGGTCAGGTCGGAATGTCCCCAGAATGCCTTCAATGGTCCCACACTGCGTCCATATCTCAGACTCACTCTGTCCTATTTGGGGCCTGGAAATATCCCTGTGTGTGACCAGTCCTACAAATTGATATAGAGCCCAGGAAGCACCCAGGTGGTCAAGCTGGACTCAGTCCCCAAGGCTAAGTCTCAGCACTTTAGTTCTGGGGGGCACTGGATAGTACAATGCTGTGTGGGGAACAGCGAGGAAGCAGTGAGGGCCGCTCATGTGCAGAGTCTGTTTAACAGTGTGTGGATGTGTGTTGGGTTGGACTTCTGCAAAGTTGAAATCCAGACCTGTCTGTATAATATTACATTTTCCAAAGAACACAAATAGAAGGTCTGTTTATTAGCTTGAATGAGAAAAGTGTCTTCAAGACACTTAAAGTATATTAATAAAGGTAAGTGGGAATAGCTATATATTTTTTTGTTTCTTCACACTCACAGTAACATTAACCAGAGTTTGAACAGATATAATTTTGGAACAGGTACTACAGACATAATAAAAGAAGGTAGCTTTTTATAAAAATAAGTACATTTTTAAGAATATAAAAGAGTGTCACGATTAATTATATATATATGCTATGATTATATAAAGAATGCAATAAACTGCTTGTATTAATACCATAACAACTGTGGAGTATCATATAAAGGAAAATAAAATTTTAAGTTACAACAAAGAAACTATATCCTGGTCTGAGGTTATATATATATTATGTTTTATGGTAGAGTGGGGCATTTTCTTTCAGTCTAAATATACCGATAAACTTCTTAAAATAGAAATCTAACGGAGAAAAATATAAGCAAAGTATTGCTTAAAACTGTGCCAAATTAGGTCAAAGGAGAACTAGTTTCTCTAAAATATAACATGTAGAATTCTGTTTTTTAAAAATGGTTAATAAGTTAAAAATAAGAGACTTCTCCCACTTACTAAAGATTTGTCGGGATAGACGCCAGCCCTTAGCAGAGAGGCCTTCCAGCTGTCCACGTCCTCCTGCGAATCACAGGCCAGCTCAAGGAAGCGATAGTCTTTGTATACATTCCTGGAGTTAAAAAAAGACCATGCTTTTAGTTCTAAACCAAATTCAGAATGATTTTTTTCTATTACTGCAGACAGTGATACAAATGGCAGACCAAATGGTTGGCTCAGTCCCTGGAAGGAAAAAACACAGACCAATTCGTTTTATTTAAAATAATTAGCGAATTCCTATATGTATGCATTCTATAATTTTTTAAAAAGCTTGCCATTAAAGGATTCAGTCATTTGTACTGCTGAGCAAGAAGTTAAAAAGAAATCCAAACGCTCCCAATGGGATGAAATGGGTGCCCATGGAGGAGAGGTGCTCTGAGGGGGAAGCATTTGCTGTTGCCTGGTAATCAGATTAATTTTCTGAGACTATTTTACAAGTCTGAGTGACTCATAGGAGTTTACATTGCACAGCAGTAATCTTACATACCAAAAATACTATGCTAGATTTAACAACACAGAACTGATCAATATTGTGAAAAGGAGAGAATGTTAACCAGTGTCTATCAAGTGCATATTTGTAACTGGGGCAATACTATAATTTTATATTCCTTTTCCTAATAATAAAAAATACAAAAGATATAATAAATGCCCATTAAAAAAATCTGGGAACTAGATAAAAGTAAAAATTGGGACAATCATCCTGTTTTCACTGTTTACAGATAAACTTATTTCTTATACTCTTGTTCTCTGCATTTTTCACACAGTTAAGTTTTTATCTCCATTTCTATCAACTTGGTGTCTTTTGTCAGTTACTATTATATCACAGTCATCTACTTATGCAATTACATCTTTGTAAACATCCAATTATAATGACAACATTAATTATTATAAATATATGGTAATTTACTTAATCTCCTCCTAATATTAGACAGGTAATTTTCTATTTTTTGCAATAATAAATAATGCTTAAATGAATATTTTTATCTATAAGCCTTTGTCACATTGATTATTATTTTCTGAGAATAGATTCCTAGAAATGGAGGTACAGGATCAAAGTTATGGTCATTTTTTAAGATACTGATATGCATTTTAATCACCTTTCCAGAAAAAAAATAACCCAATTTAGACAGACACTAGCAGTGTATAAGATTAACAATCATTTTCTCTTCTTCTTCTTTTTCATCCATGCCTGCAAGTCTCAATTTACACCTGAACCCAGATGGTTCATACACTTATATCTCCTGTCCAGACCTGAACCAGATTCATGTTGCCTACAGACTTCTCCACTTGAGTATCTCAAAGGCCTGTTGACATGTATGATTGAATTGCCCACTGGTGTTCCCATTTCACAGAGCAGCAGTGTAATCAGAGATTTTGGGGGGTATCTTAGCCACCTTCCACTCTTTCATACTCCTCTCCCATTTTACCACCTAAATTTTTATTGCCGGTATATTGACGACCATCATATTATCACCTCCTCAATGGTCTCCAAGCATCAAATCTGTTCTCACTGAATCCTCATCATGAACTGAAAATGTGAGTAGATATTTTCATCCCTCTGTAAAACATGCTAATAGCTACCTGGGTTTAGGAAAAGGCCACACTCCCTATGCTGCCTGCCTACAGAGCCCTGTGTGGTCTGGCCCACCACCTCCTTCCTCTTCAGCTTCTTCTCACACTCAGCTCTCCTCCTCTCTGCTGCAGCCACACTGGCCTACTTTTACCTTCCCCAATGGGCCATGCTTGCTCCCAAGGTCTCTGAATATACTGCTCTCTCTGCCTGCAGCTCTCTTGCCTCCCCTTGTTGCACAGTTAACTCCTACTCTTGCCTGGGAATCTCAGCTCCGTCATCACATCCTCAGACACTACTTCCCTGACACCCCTGCAGGTCAGCTCCTCTTTCATAAATGCTTCTATTTCATCTTTCCCTTTCCTTCGTAGCACTGATCACAGTTGGTGATTTTGACATTATGTTTCTTTTTCTTTCTCATTTACTTATGTATTGATTTTGATAATGTCTTCCCAACTAGCCCATAAAAAACATGAGGGCAAAGACTGTATCATTTTTATACCCATCATTCTATTCCCCAGGAGACTTGGGATGTTTTAATCATGTTTATTTTTTGCCATAGCTATATACTTGGATTTAGTTTTGTCATTTTGAAAACATTTTATAATACTCTTTACTGTTTCCTTTGTGTAGGGTGAGAAGTAAAATGCCTTTTTGGCTTCTATATATTTTTTTAGCAGTCTCAGTTCTACAGTAAATGATTATTCTTAAGTTTTCTAAATCATTCTTTAGTTCATTTTTGTATATATGAAATTCAGAAACAAAACAATAATTCTTGACTTATTAAAGAATTGAGAAGCTTTTTATTTTCCTCTACTTTATCTCATGATAATTGCTAATCTATCTAGAAATACTGACCTAAAAGATTATTTCTGAATTCTTGTTTTCACATCTCTTTAAGGGTCTCTTTTTATCTTTTTCTTTTAATGCTTTTGCACTCACTGTTGTTCCACTTAAGCAATAACTTAGCTGGAACTCTATATTTAACTTGAATAAATATTTATTATCAGGCATTTTGCACCTGGACTTTCCCATTTGTAATTATTACTTGGGTTTATACTTTGAATTGGTCCCAAATAAAGTTGCTATCTGGGTTTCTGGTGGGCGCCATATCCACATTTCTCACACTGATTCAGTGAGGAACTATAGAAGTTTCTTTTTGTTGTCTTCCTGTTTAGCCCATTTTCCTTACACAAGGTAAAGTATGCACTAGTCACTTACAGAATTTCAACCTAGTTCACTCCACGAGTCTTGTAAAAAGCTGACTGACATTTCTAGGGCTTTTGAGACTCTCCCTCTCTGTTGCTATGATTTCTTGGATATGACAATGGAGGGTGAAGAGCAAAAGAAGACCTTCTAATTTTTCACCATCTTAAAAAAAATCATCTCATTTAATCTTCATAGCAATCCTGCAAAGTTGGTAAGAGAGCTGTTTGTCAGCTGAAGAAACTGAGATTCAGGGGGATTAGATAGGTGACTTTCCCAGGATCACATAGCTAACAAATGGCACAACCTGGGCCTACCACAAGCTGTGGCTTCCTTAAAACAAAAATTTGTTGAATGAATGAATGAACAAAAGAACTATGGAATGAACTTGGACTATGTTTATTTTTAAAACCACCTTTTTTCATTTCTGATTGAATCCTTAACTTCCTACAGAAAACGTAAGATAAAAAAAGTTTAAGGAGATGAACCACAACAAACAGAATTTGTCATTTTAATGAAAAGTGGGGCATATTTAATGAAAGTGTACTCTCCAAGTATGAAAGTTTTATTTTTGGAAAGTCTGAAAGATCCTATCTCTGCTACAGAGCAGAAAGGGTAATGGATTATCTTACAATGTATTATCTTGACGAAATGAAAATCCATCCGTTTTTAACTATCTAATTACCTCTGTACCAGAGCGCTTAGCTACCATTTAGGTTTCCATTCAAGGCATTTCCACTGCACAGCACAAGTTCCTTTAAGATGTAAAGGTACAGGGAGGGCAAAGCTGGCCAAAGGCCACAGAGCCCTTGGCCAGCTGGACAGCACGCACAGCAGAAAGGGTACAGACTTTCCACATTCTCTAAGCAGATCTGAAGAATCCAGCTTTGGCCCTTTCTCACTGACCTTTCTCCAGAGTATTTTCTTTCAGGGGCTCTTCACATGGAAAATCTTGATTTTTTTCCCCCTCAAAGGATAGCCAAATTCTTGAGAGGGAAAATAATTATCTGGTTGAAACATTAGAAGAGGGTCAAAGACTTCTGGTGGCTTTGGCTGCTTCATTTATACCCATTTTTTGAAGCTTCATCTCAGGCTGTGTCTAGACAGCCAAGCAGAGCTGGATACAGGGTCTGAAACACTGAACCGAGCTGATTTACGGGAAGCCTCATAAATTCTGTGGATGCAGCTTCCAGGTTCTCACCACATGCTGTAGCTGTATAGATAACCCACAGCAATTTGTACTGACTGCATTTTTTTTTTGTTTAGTCTATTTCAGCTGCAATCATGCAGATAGGAGCTTCTGAATGATTTCACTATGAAATCAAGTTGAACTATGTGTTTTACAGTTTGAAAAAATAAAAGTCACCTCAACATTAAAAAGGAGCAGGCGAAATTTCATCCCATGCATAAAGGGCTTCTAAGTGCTACCTGGAAGAGAATATGACCACACGATGAGCCCATGTTTTGATTATACATATAACTTTCAGTCACGTGTCATAAGAATGTCTTTGGATGTTAAAAATGTGAAGTTTAATTTCCTTACCTATGAAACCTCTTCAAGCATTGGAGACCAGATACTATATGCTCCCCAAGTCCTCAAGTCTCTAAGCCAGTGGTCCTCAAACTACGGCCCGCGGTCCACATGCGGCCCGCCGAAAACATTTATCCGGCCCGCCGGGTGTTTTTGCCACCACTGTGTGCATAGGAATTTGTTCATAGTTTTTTTTTTAAACTATAGTCCGGCCCTCCAACGGTCTGAGGGACAGTGAACTGGCCCCCTGTTTAAAAAGTTTGAGGACCCCTGCTAAGCCAACCCTTCTGCCAATTTTTTCAGATGTTTCTAATATGAAGAGGTATCTAGATAACATAACACAGCATCCTTCTTGCCATCCCAGGAATTTGTTCTATTTTAAAAGGATTTTCTAAAAATGAGCTGCCAGCAACTGATCACAAACCTCTAGCTACATACAGTATTATCCAGATGCGAGACAGAAGTTTGGTGGAATTCTTACCTGCGTTCTAGTAAACTTTTACTAATGTAAGTTAAGTAAAATGTAGTAGACTATGGTAAAGACCATGAACACCTGTTGAAATCCAGGTTGTGCCATTTATTATCTTAGATGACACAGGGTAAGGCAACCTCTCTGAATTTGTTTCCTCATCTATACAATGGGGAGAGTAACAGTATCCACTTCAGGCTTACTGTAAGGTTAGATGTGTGAAGAGCATTGCTTAATACCACGCCCAGCCTCAGGTAAATATACAAGTAAAATGTACAAACTACAACAATTATTATG